TTTTTTGTTGCGGTTTGTCCGGGGCGATTCTCTTGCCTCAGCCTCCCGAGTAGCTGGGACTACAAGCGCCCACCACAACGCCCGGCTATTTTTTTGTTGCAGTTTGTCCGGGGCCGGGTTTGAACCTACACCCTCGGTATATGGGGCCAGCACCCTACCCACTGAGCCACAGGCGCCACCCCAGACTTTAAATTTTAAGAACTGGGAGTAAGGATTTGGACAGAGGAGCGGAGAAGACAGACCTATGTCTAACAAGTTCTAAGGGCTAAGGTGAGAGTCCACAGACCGTGGAAGAGATGCCTCCAAGACGAATGGGCTCTATGAGAGTGGTTGTGGTCTTCTCCTCGCGACTCAGCTTCTTCTCTGGGGGCCCTGAGCCCCCGTCGCCAGCGGCGCGTTTGTTGCCGGGCCCAGACATGGCCGCTGCGGTGAGGAGCGGCGCAGGGTCTCCCAGCGGTGTCAGGCGGGAGAAGACAGCGCATCCGTCACCTGCAGAAGACAGAGAGCAGAGATGTGGACGCGGCTGGCTCTCCACAGCCCCGAACTCTGCCCGCCGGGCACACACCAGCTGGATCCTGCTCCCACCAGCCCCAGGGCCCTCACTGGCAGCAGGGTCAGCCTAGTACCGCCATCTTGGATTCCACCGGACGTCACTGGCCTCCCAGGCGCAAAGCGCAGGCGCCAAAGACAGCGCCGGAAGTGGCGAATCTTCCTTATCTCCTGATCTTATTGGTCATACTTGGTCCCACCTCTCGAGTTCACCGGTTTCTTCCTGTACGCCTCCTTCTTCTCTCCATGATTGGCCAGTAGACAGTTCCCATGGTAACGGACACAGCACACCCACACTTCTTGGCCCAGAAGACAGCGCTAGCCTACTAGTAGCAATTTAAAGAGAGGGCACCCAAGTGAGCACTCGGAATTTAAAACGTATGCAGGTTCTCTTCTCACTGATTGGCGTGCGCCTGCACTGCCTGCCTCCCTTCTTTCACAAGCCCCCTTAGCAACCGTCACCGTTGAGACGGAGGAAGACGCCCCCGCAGATTGGCTGCGCTGACGTTCTCCGCTGCGTGGATTGGCTGCAGCGTGACTAGAGGACCAGGCCTTCGCAGTCGCTGCCTGAGAACCCGCTGGCCCAGACGTGAGGCAGGACAGAGCCTGTGGGGACCCGGGGCACGGAAGAGCGACGAAATGATCAGCCAGACCAGCCAATCCTTGGGAGTGAGGATGCAGTCGGAGCTTGAACAGCCCTCCGAACTGCGGCAGGAACCGGAGAAGCTGCTCAGCTCAGTGTGTAGGACGGCCACAGGGACTGAATCGGCCTCTAGGGAAGTGGATGAACATCCTGGAACCAACTTGTTCCCGGTGAGGGCGGGACAGACTGACTAGTCCGCTCATGAATATAAAGGGGTTCCCCTGCGCAGCGCCACAGTCATTGTTTTAATGGGGTGTGAAACCCTGACTGTTAATATGCTTAAGAATAGTACTCAGGGCCTGTCGAAGCGCAGCCCCGCCCGGGTTGCTTATAGGTAGTGCTTGAGATGATATTGCGAGTTATATAGCTCCTTGTCAGGCTCGCTGGAGATTCGCGACGGGCCAGGGACAACACAACTCTGCCTTCCCCAATCCGCTTTCTCTCCGCAGCCGCCGCTGCCTCGACCCCGAATCTGCATGTGGTGAGTATGAAGAGACTTGGAGGAAAGTTACACTTCACACTTGCATTATTCCTTCAGTGCCTCCCCAACAGTCCTTTCCCATAGCTAGGGCATTCCCATTTACAGATGAGACTAAGACCCAAAGATGCAATTATTCAAGGTAGCTAGAAGCCAGTTTTCCAGCCTCTCTAGTCCAAAGAGGAGGCCGTGTGAGGAGAGCCAGAGACTAAGGGTATAAACTGAATATAGCCACTATGGAATCATGTACAAATGGGGACACTGAAGCCTACAAGGGAGACTTGACCAAGCAAGGTAGTGGCAGAACAAAGAACTCAAGATTGCTAACCTTAGGCTTTATAAATGGAGAGAACCATAAGAGTTCATTTAGGTTCAGAGAGGTAAACAATTTCCCTAAGATTTCACAGCAAGTTCGTGAAAAAGCCAAGCTTCAAACTCAGGTCTCCTGATTCCCAGCCTGATACCCTAGCCATTACAGCCCCGACAAGAGACTAATGTATAAAGACCACTGATACTTTTTCTTTTCTTTTCCTGTGACAGGAAGTACTTGGACATCCATTCTATGTACCGGCTGGAGAAGACCACCAACGTTGAGGAGATGAGGAAGTAGGGACTGAGCAGGGAGAGAAGCTTTTGGGGAAGGCTGAGGGGGTGGGTTGAAAATACCAGGAATAGGCTCGGCGCCTATAGCTCAACGGGCTAAGGCGCCAGCCACGTACACCTAAGGTGGCGGGTTCGAATCCCCAGCCCGGACCCGCCAAACAACAATGACGGCTGCAACCAAAAAAAAAAAAAAATAGCCGGGCGTTGTGGCGGGCGCCTGTGGTCCCAGCTACTTGGGAGGCGGAGGCAGGAGACTCGCTTGAGCCCAGGAGTGGGAGGTTGCTGTGAGCTGTAATGCCACGGCACTCTGCCCAGGGGGATAGCTTGAGGCTCTGTCTCAAAAAAAAAAAAAAGAAAATACCAGGAATAGCAGACTCCAAAGCATGTGCTGGTTGTGGTGATGAAAGGAGACTCCCATTGTCCCTCACTCCTTCCTCTCTCTCTCCTAAGGGTGCTGGCTGAACTGTTGGAGCTAGGTTGTCCTGAGCAGAGCCTGCGAGATGCTATCACCCTGGACCTCTTTGCCCATGCACTCATGTTCTGCCGCCAACAGGGCTTCTCACTGGAGCAGACATCAACAGCTTGTGCCCTGCTCCAAGATCTTCACAAGGCCTGTGTTGGTGAGAGGGAGGTGGCTACCAGGTTTGAGCCCCAGGGAGAGGAGGAGGTTGGGCTGGCTCAAGTAACCATAGGAAGCAGAAGTAGTGTGATTACCACCTGGAATCTTTGTTATTACTAGTAGCGTTATCACATGCAAGTTGTCACCTTTGAAATCTTGTTTTCATATCTATAAATTGAGGATACAGCACTAATGTTATGAGAAATAACATATGTAAATATGTACATAGTGTTTAGTAAAATAGCTCCCACTTCCCCTCCAATTTTCTTCATAATGTTTAACAATAGCTTAAATTATATACTTCTTGGTTTACTATATGTCACTTTCACTAAAATAAAGCTTCATCAAGGCAGGACCTTGTCTTGTTCAGTGCCTACAACAGTATATGGTAGGTACTCCATATTTATTGAGTGAATGAAGCTAGCCAAGACCTTAAGATCTGTCCACCTGAAGCTTATTCTCCGTAAATAGCTGTTAAATGAGTGAAATGAATGAATAAATAAGAGGGGGACTCACTGCTGCATCTTGCTTTCCCTACCAGCAACCCCCTTGGGCAACGTGGAGGAATGCTACCGCTACTTTACCAGTGTTCTTTTTTGCCATGGAGTCAGGGTCAGTTCCCCTGGAACATTCTGAAAACTTCACCCTCCCCCAGACAAGATGTAGCTCAATCTCCTGCGCTCTCATACTCATCACCCTCATCTTCCTCTGAAGGCTGCATTGGGCTCTTCTTTATCCTACACTGTTGGGAACTTGGAGGAAAGGCCAGGGCTTTAGGAGGTAGTCAGTGTTCTAACACCTAGTCATCACCACAGCGGCCCCCCTTCAGCATTGACCTCTTTAAAGAGGAACAGCTGCTGGCCCTGGCAGACTATGTGGTCAACACCTATTTCCGCCACTTCAAGCTCTACAAATATGTCTTCACACCCCAGGTAATGGGCCATGAAGTACAAGAGGCCAGCCCTATCTCCCTTTCCCTCAGTTCAGGTGCCCTCCTCTCAGCTGCTCTTCTTTTTTCCCAGGTGCGGTTGGATCTATCTTTGACTTACATGGGGCTACAGTCACCCAAGCTCTGGCCAGAAGGTAAGATGGTTAAGAAAAACTGCCAGGGTTAGGCCTGGGGTGAGGTTGGAGCTAAGGCCTCTTCCTGCTTCTGGCTTGCAGACAAAGAAGAAACCAAGGAAGTGGAGGAGCAGGCAGTCACCCCACACGAGGAGGAACTGGAAACGGTGGCCCAGCCACAGCAAGAGCCAAGTGAGGATTGGGAAGGGTTAAGGGGGTGCCTGGTGACTCTAGGAAGGGGTAAAATGAAGGGTCTGGACCACAAAAGGCTTCAGACCTTTTGTTTTTAGTCACAGTGTCCTTTCTCCAAATGATTCCTTATGCAGTAGTCCAAGGTGATAAACAGATTAAAGCCCAGCTGCTCAGAATGAGCAAAAGAGGTGGCTCCAGAAAGACAATTAGAAAACCAATGATAGGCTCGGCGCCTATAGCTCAACCGGCTAAGGCGCCAGCCACGTACACCTAAGGTGGCGGGTTCCAATCCCCAGCCCGGACCCGCCAAA